GAGACCTCACACCGATACTCCCCAGCATCTTGTTGCTTGACAGGGTCAATGGTGAGGATGCTGCTGTTCTGGGACAGCTTCATGCTCTCTGTGAGCTGCAGTTGCTGGTCATTGAAGAGCCACTGGATGGAGATTCCAGTGTCATTTGAGAGACAGATCAGGACCACAGAGCCCCCTTCTTCCACCGTGGTGTTGCTGGTTTCGATGATGGGTTGCTCCACCACCTCTGTGGACAGAGGAGGGAATTGGTTGAATGTGGGGTCCTGGGGCCCAGCTGTGCCCTTTCCTCAGATATTCAGCCAATTCTGGGCCACAGTGGGCTCTGTAAGGCAGCTCGGAGGACAGCCCCGACCCTCAACAGAGATTGCACACCTTGGTTTGGGTGACATTAAGGAGAGGAGTGGGCCTCCTTCTCCACCCCATGAACCCAGGGGCCCCTAACGTTTTCTGGACCTCTCTAAAGGATCCACATGGCTGAAGGATCCTTAGCCTGATACCCAGAAATTTCATTGTAAGGTAGAATAATATTTTCCATTGACATTTTTAAAAAAATTCATGAAAGCAGGTGGTTGAGGCAGGAGGATTGTTGTAATTTTGAGACCAACCTGGGCCAAAAAGTGAGCTCAAGGCCATCTGGAGCTGCACAGTAAGACACTCAAAAAGATGAGAGAGAATGAGAGTGAGAGCAAGAGTGAGAGCGAGCGAGCGAGCGAGAGAGAGAGAGAGAGAGAGAGATTAAGAAAGTAAAAAGAGAAACGTGTGAGGGTCAGGGAACTGGATTTGCAAAGCAAGTCTGGGCTGTGGAAAAGACAAAAGAAAGAAAGAAGAAAGAAAGAAAGAAAGAAAGAAAGAAAGAAAGAAAGAAAGAAAGAAAGAAAGAAAGAAAGAAAGAAAGAAAAAAAAAAAAAAAAAAGGCTAAAAGGCCACTCTGGAGAGGGCAGCGTGGGCTATGGTGAGCAAAACCCAGGACAGCATCCCATTGACTTCTGCATGATGTCTTGCAGTGCTCTCTGTGACAGAAAAAGTTGAGGTCCCTCTAGCCTGAAAAGCACATCACTTTGGAGAGGACTTTTATTTCCTGGCCTGTGCATTACATACCAGAGTGGAGGAGGGCAGCAGAGATAAATGGTCACAGTGTTAGCAAAAGGCTGACCTCATTCCCTCTACAAATACACCTCTTATGGCCCTGCCCTTTCCTCCAGCAGTGACTCCACAGTGAAGTCCCCAGGTCCCCAAGGTGCAACGCTCCCTTCTGTCCATGGTGCATCACCTGCAGTTGTGTCCTCAGCCTCACACAGCTGGGACTTCAGAGCAAGACAAAGCTCAGGGGCATCTGCCCTGAGCTGTGCTTTTTCATTTTGTTGTACAGTGGGTGGGGAGGCTGAGATGCCCTCTGAGGATCTGATTCAGCAGAATCAGGATGGGCCTGCTTTCCATCTGTCATGCCCCAGCCCAACTAGAGCCAGAGCAGAGCCAGGCACAGGAGGAGGCTAAAACAGAGCTCAGAGCTGCTGGAGCCTGTCCACGAGGGATTTCCTCCTCTCATTTGGAGAAAAAGAGCTCAAAGATAGTTCAAATCCCTAGGGCCTCACTGAGGAAGCAAAGAAAACAGATAACATAAGGAATGGATAACAGAGAGAAGCTATTTGACTTCAAGGGCCCTCCCCCATCTGTGAATCTCCACCCACCCCAAGAGGCTTTCTGGGATGAGAACCTGCTGTCTACATTCCAGGCTCAAACCCAGCTCAGCCCAGAGAAATCAGAGAAGCAAGGGGAGAGCAGTCTCAGGGAGCTGGCAGAATGCCCGGGGAGGCTGGGGACTCCCTTGTGTACACACACACACGGGATGGGAATCCACTTCTTTCCCACTATTTCCAGACCAACAAAGGATGATCTAAGAGCTTGATGCTGCTGTTCCGGGGTCCACTTACCAGGGACTATCACAGTCTTCAATGTGCTCCTGCTGAGGCCAGTGGCAGAGTTATTAGCGAGGCAGGTGTAAGATCCACTATTTTTCGCAGAGACATTAGGGATGTGAAGCTCCTGCGTGAACTGCAGGATGCTTCCATCGATAAGCCAGTGATACTGTGCAGCTGGGTTGGAGGCTGCATGGCAGGAGAGGTTGAGGGTTGTCCCTGGATGGAAATAGGTCTCTGGGGGCAGTATGATAGGGTCATCCGGGCCATCTGGAGTAAACAGAATAAATCCGTATGTGATGTCATCACAGGGAAGGTGAAGTTCCTAGCTTGGAGAACACTGAGTAGCCCTCTGCACCAAGTCTCAGCCTTGTTTTTAGCAAGTCCTAACCAGGTTAGAGGGTGTAGCTCAGTGGTAGAGCACCTGTCTAGGATGCAAAAGGCCTTGAGTTCCATCCCCCATACTACAGACCCTGAAAAAAGTCCCTGTCATAACTCTCAGTGTTCACTAAGCCTCAGTCATCCCCAAGGTTGATCACAGGTGGCTAATGAATCTCCACAGGTAGGAGAAGCCCCTCCCCTCCTGGTCTTGGCTGAAGGTCAGGCCTGTGTGGATGGCAGGGCCAGAATGGTGTGGTCAACCCAAGCGTCCAAGCATGAAAGCCTGCTTTCTGGACTTGAGAGAGAGGCTGAGTGGGCTAGTCTCTGTCTCTGACCGTGCTGATTGGAGGGTTAGCTGGAACCATGGGAGAATAGAGGTTACTCACAGTAAATATCCAGGGTGAATGGATCACTTCGGCTACCACTCACTATGTTCTGGGTTTCACACTCATAGGGTCCAGTGTCATTCCTCGTGACATTGAATAAAGTGAGAATCCTGCTATCATTAGACAGTTTCAGCCTATCACCATCTTGAAGGCTCTGACCGTTTGTCCACCACAGGTAGGTTGTGTCCTGAGTCTCAGGTTCACATGTTAATACTACAGGTTCCTCACCCTCCACAGGGCTGGCATTGTTGCTTGTGATGTGAGGTTTGGGTAACACCGCTGTGAAGAAAACAGAGAGAAGATTGCCCCGTGTGGCTCCTTTGATCTGGGCAAAGGCATTTTCACCAGAGTTGAGCTTTTTTATTTCTCAGTCAACTTGAGTCCTTCAAGGACCAGACAGGAGTGCATCTCACAGGCGAGGCTGGAGGACTTGAGCACCCAGGCAAGAGGCAGCCTGAGATTTGTCTGGGAAGAACCCAGGCTTTGTCATGCATGAAATAAACCACAGTAGTTGGCCATGGAGAGACCCCGGCCCCTCTTCTGGCCTCGCTGCCAGCCCCTGGCTTGCCTTGGCTCCTGTGGGTGCTGAGCCCCTGCAGCTGCAGAGCCCTCCATGCTCAGCCCAGGGCATTTCCTCTGGGCTTTGTTGTGCAAGGCCGTGCTAGAGACGGGTCCTGATGGACCTCCATCGTGCTGAAGCCTAGAGAAGACCCCCAAGCCTGGTTGGAGTACATTGTGTGTGCAGAAATTGCACATGAGGGGGACAGCACCGAGCCTGCCATTCAGCTCAGTGGCCAGCCCGAGGCTATCATGTGGGGTGGGGCTGCTGGGGTGTTCGCTGGTGGCTGCCATTAGCACACGTGTAGTAGATGGCCTAGGACAGTGGGAGGGGACAGACAGACTTTAGAGAGCTGGATCACTGTCTTGTCCTTGGTCTCTGGTGTGCTCCACTATAGTAGAAGATGAGGACCATGTGGGTTTGACAGTTTTGGGTTACAATTTTAGATGTTTAGTTTCTGCTGTATGGGAAAATTGCCATTCCTACCTAGTATCTAAGTCTATTTCCTGAAATAAATATTTTTCTAGGAGAACCAGATGGTCTTAGACCAAACTTTGAAGACTTTCAGGGTCTCTTCTGAATCAAAGAGAGTTCCTGAGGTCAGTCTGAAATCAGCCACCCCCTGAGTGGGAGCCCTGTGAGCCGTGCTGGGTGGGCAGACCTTGTCAGAGAGGAGGGCTGAGGCATCTCTCTTATAAAGATGGCCTGACAGCAAATTCCGAGAGGGTGTGCATCGTATTAGGAAGTGTAGAGGTCTGTGTTCTCTTTTGCTGGGAATGGGGCACTAGAGGCCGGTGCCCAATCACACACATAAAATTCCTGCTCATTTTTCTTTTGTCCTCAGCAATCACAACTGGGGTTTTATTCAGTTCTTTCAGATCCGGCAAAGTCTACTAACATGACAATGGCTGATGAATCTTGCCATGTTAGGGGACATACCTGTGATCCTGGTGTCACCTCAGGGACACAAGTTGTGAGACACAGGGAGGGAGCCCTTCAGACAGCGCTTGTCAGGCCAGCTTCCCTGCAGGGAGGCTTGGGGGCTCTGAAGACATGTGAGCCCTCCATGGGGAGCAGGATAGAGTGGGGAATAAAATGGGCAGCCAGTTTAGGGCTCTAGGCCTTGCAACTCTGTCCTGCCTGTGAACCCTGGCTGGGTTGCACAGAAGACCAGCTCAGGCCCCCCTTGGGGTCTGTTCTACTCACTGGTACTATGGAAGGGAAGAGCCCTGGAGCAGGATGCAGAGGAGGCTCACCCACAGATGGGGATGCTGCCTCATGACAGAGCCTTAGAGCGTGGGCCGCTCTTATTTCTGTGGCCTTTTGTATTGCCCAGGAGGGTGGCTTCACCTCACATGTTAGTGAGAGGTAGCAGAACCATTGGCCATCAGTGAGGGAGGCAAGGATACAAAGCCCATGGGCACTTGTGGCCTGAACTGATGGGGAGGAAGTCGAGGGCGGGAACAGGGAAAGAGCCAGAAATAGCTGTAGCATAGAGCAATGCCGTGTCTGTGGTTTCAAAAACACCAGACACCAAGAGTCCCATGGCTGCCTCAGAACCAAACAGAACATTCAGCGAACACTTTTGTTTGCAGCCAAGCAGATCTAGGGTCACTGTGTGAGGTGAATCCTGGGGTGGCCTTAAGAGCAGGTGACTAAGGAAGACAGGAAAGGTCTCAGACTCTAAGAAGGTCAGGCTGCTGCTGTGCCTGGAACCTTCTAGGACGCTGTGTGCAAGTCCCAGTCCCTGAGGGGTTGGGCCACTCCGTCCTTCACTGATTCACTCACTCACTGCTCATTCTTCCCCTCAGTCATCACAAAGCTTTTGAATTGGCCATAATTGGGCCGGCTGGTTTGATGGTCTAGTGGGGAGTGAGACAGCAAAGCCCTCTCCTTTATACCTCAGCAAAGTGATCCTCAGCACACCAGGAAAGATAGGACATGAAACCTAGTGAGGGAGGCTGTGGATCTGTTCCCCCCGGAGGGAGCCCCAGACACGGTGCTGAAGCAGCTGATTTAATTCTAGAGGAAGAATGAACTACTTCTACATTTGGTCTTTCTGATCCAACCACACTCTCTGTCAGCTAGTAAGGACCAAGGTTAAAAAACATGCATCAATAACTGGTCTCTGGGTCACAGACATCCAACAAATCTTCCCGGGTGGAGAGCACAGGCCTGATTTTACAAAGCTATGCAATTCCTATGAGGCACACCGTGGGCTGTGTGACCCTGGTCCAGCAATTAATTGTCTTTCTTTGTGCCTGAGTCTCCCTGTTATGGGATCCATGAGAAATGGAATCTCGTTTGCTAAGTTATTGGTAAATCAACCAGAGATACTTGCAGTTACCTGTCTTTGCCATACTCCATGCCTAATCAGCAATCTAATTTTGTTCCCATCACTGAATCACCTGGAACAGTCCAGATGGACAAGGGACTTTCAGTAGTGTCACTCTCCTCTGTGCTTGCCCTGGGCACACTGTGAGGTCTCCTAAGTCCAGCAAGGGAGCTAATGCCCTGAGGTGCCTGTCAGCTGCGTGCATATGCCAAGTCTCAGGTGAAAGAACTCCCAGGTTCCCTAGCCCCGATAAGGCCCTTGGGGCTATGCTCTGGCTAGGGACCCACATTAGGGACATTGAAGCTCACCAAGTCACTAAATTATTGCTCCCTTATCATCCTTAATCAGTGGATCCAACTCTAACCCTGAGAAGAAGCTCCCCACAAACACATGGAGTGAAGGGCTGGAGACAGAGGTCTGAGGCAGGGGATTCAGTGGCTAAGATTCTCATCAGGACCCAAGAGTCCCTCATGTCAGCCCCTACCGGGTTCCTCAGAGGCACTCTTGGGGCTGTGTTAACAGCAAGGAAATTGGGGAGGGCTGGAGAGGATCTCCCTGGATCACGTTACTCCACCCAACTCTCCCCTGTGCTGTGAGGGTTCAGGTAGAGGACTCCAGGCTGCTGAAGTTTACTCTGCTGCATGTGTCGTGCACTCCATGCGCAATGCTCAATTAGGGACATGAGGTGACAGAATAAGGGGGGCACTAACTAGGATGGACAGTTTTGTGTGAGCATGAAGGGGAATTTACCCCAGTCCCCACCCAGAGGTCATGGAGAAGAACTCACGGTGCACCTGGAACTCTCCGGAAGCTTC